AAAAATGAATGAACACCAAACTAAGAGATTAAAAAAAAAAAAAAACCCAAAATACAACAAAACAGAACTTAAAGAAAAAAGAAGATAGAAAATAATGAAAATGAGAACAGAAATTCATGGAAGAGAAAGTAAACCTACAAGCGAGTTGACAAAACAGTTACTGGTTCTTTGAAAGGATCAGTGTAACAGACAGGTATCTGGCAAGACTGTTCAAGAAAAGAAATAAAGTGCATTAAACAATATTAGAATTGAAAAAACTTAACCAACAAATGCTATATGAAAAATAAACATTATGCCAATAAAATTTAAAATTTAGATGAAACGGACAAATCTTTACATATAATATATATTACAGCTTATACATTATACATAGCTTAATAAAAAAAGAAATAGGATATCTGAACAGACTATAATCATTTTTAAAAAGCATTAGAAATCTTCCCATAGAAAAAAACCCAGCCCCACATGGTTTTACAGACGCATTCTACCAAAACTTAACATTCTCAGAACGAATAATTCCAAAACATGCAAAAAGAAAAAGTACTACTCCAACTCACTTTATGAGGCTGGCCTAACCTTGATGCCAAAACCTGGCAAGAACAGAAGGAGAAAGGAAAAGAATAGGCCTATTTTGCAAATGAACACAAGCGTGAAATTCTCTAAAAAATAAGTAAAGTGAATCCATAAAAAAGCTAATTTATCATAATCAAGCTGGGCTTATTCCAAGTATGTAAGGTGAGTTTAACATTTAAAAATATAAATTAATATATAGCATTCATAGATGATAGGAATAGTCACATAATCATCTCAATAGATACAGAAAAGGCATTTGATAAAATCTGCTATCAATTCATCATTAAAGAAAACCAACTCTTAACAAACCAGGAAGAAGGAAACTTCTTTAATCTCTTAAATAGTATCTACAAACAAACCTATAACAAGCACAATTCTTTTTTTCTGAGGCAGGGCCTCGCTCTGTTGCCCAGACTGGAGTGTAGTGGTGCAGCCTTGACTTCCCGGGCTCAATTGATCCTCCTACTTCAGCTTTCTGAGTGGCTGGGACCACAGGTGCACGCCATCACATCTGGCTACCTTTTTTTTTTTTTTTTTCTGTCTTAGAGATGGGGGTCTCACAATGTTGCCCAGGCTGGTCTTGAACTCCTGAGCTCAAGCGATCCTCCTACCTTGGCCTCTCAAAGTGCTGGGATTACAGGTGTGGACCACTGCACCCAGCTAAATGTAATTCTTAATGGTAAAACATTGAAAGAATTTTCTCATTTAACTACTAGGTCCTAACTAGTACAGGTTTAAAAAAAAAATGGAAAGATTAGAGAAAAAGAAACAATTTTAATCACCTCAGAAAAAAAGTCATTACCTATGTAGAAATTCCAAACTGCATTATATATGTCATTAGACTTACTAAGAATTTAGCTGGGTCAAGAAGAATGTGCAAAAACCAGTTGCCTTTCTATACCTTCATGACAAGTACATAGTAAATTTGATTACAAAAATATTCTGTATACATATAGTGCATACAAAAGCATGAAAAATTTTTTCAGGTAACTAGAAATAAGTCTAGTAAAAAATGGGCAAAATATTTACTAAAAACTTATAAAAACATCCAAAGATACTTGTAAAGGCCTAAATAATTAGGGAGCTATAATGGCTACGGATTAGAAAACCTACTGTCATAAATATACAATTCTCTCCAAATTGAGCTATTAAATTAAACTAATTCCAAAGTCTCCAGAAGTTTTCTGTGCAACTCGATGAGCTGATTTGAAAATTTACATGAAAGTTCAAAGGCCCAGCACAAGCCATGGCAACCCAAAGAGCAGGATACAGAGAGGGATCCACCTTATGTATAATGAAGCTACGACAATGACCAGACAGTGACAATCACACGGGATGGGCACGATGGCCAATGGAACGAAATAGGAAGCTTAGAAACACCTACGGACATTTGGTTGATGACAAAGGTGGCACTGTGGAGCAACAGAATCTTTTCAGCGTTTGATGCTGGGACAATTGAATATCCTATGGGGAAAATTACACTGGCTCCCTCATACCATACACACATAAAACAGTCCATTCTAGGTGGGCCCTTAGGTTTCAGTGTGAAAGACAGCACACAAGAGGTTCTAGAAGATGATTTAGGAGACTACCTTCGTGATCTTGGAGAAGGGAAAGGTTTCTTAAACTAGACATAGAAAGTACTGTTCATAAAGGAAATGACTTCTACTTTCTATTACTTTAAAATTAAGAACTTCTGTTTATCAAAAGACATCATGAAGAGAAAGCAAACAAAATCACAGCTTGGGAGAAGATTTCTGCAACAGGTATAACCAAGAAAAAGACTTGTAACCATAATATATAAAGAAACATTATTAAGAAAAAGACCATCCAATGAAAAAGACCATCCAACAAAAAAGAAGGAATTTCACATACACTTCACAAAAGAGAAAAGCTGAATGACGAATAGACAAATAAAAAGATGTCCAAACTCATTAGTAATGAAGGACACGAAACTTAAACTCACAAGGTGACATCATTTACCAGCAACCATCCTGCCAAAAATACGAAGTTGGGCAGCACTAAGTATTGGTGTATGGAACCACAGGGGTCTTGGGCGCTGCTGATGGGAGTGTAAACTAACACAACCCCTTTGAAAAACAGTTTGGAAGTATTTGGTAAAGTTGAAGATACGCACATCCTATGACCTAACCATTTCACTCATAGAGAAATCCTTGAACGTGTGCACCAGGAGCCCTGTAAAAAATATTTACAAGCACTGTTCATAATAGCCAAAACCTGAAAACAACCCACGTATCTATTCACAGTAGACTAAGTAAGGAAATCTTAGTGCATTTACACAATAAATACTATTCATTCATGCAAACCAACGAGTCACTGCTGTGTGCAAGAAGGAGGAGCCTCAGGAACGGGATGTTAAGCAATGAACGCAAGCAGCATAAGGACATATTCAGTCTGATTCCATTTTCTACCACAAGTTTAAAACAGGCAAAACACAATTGTTATTATTTAGGAGTACACGCTGGGGGCAGTGGCTCAGGCCTGTAATCCCAGCACTTTGGGAGGCCGAGGCGGGGGGATCGCTTGAGCTCAGGAGTTTGAGCCCAGCCTGGCCAACATGGTGAAACCCCATCACTACGAAAAATACAAAAATTAGCTGGGCATGATGGCACACGCCTGTGCTCCCAGTACTCGGGAGGCTGAAGTGGAAGGATCCATTGAGCTGGGAGGTTGAGAATGCAGTGAGCTGCAATTCTACCACTGCACTCCAGCCTGGGTGATAAGAGTGAGGCCCTGTCTCAAAAAAAAAAAAAAAAAAAGAAAAAGAAAAAAGCACAATATACATGGTACAGAAACATGAGAGAATGATTAACAAAAATTTAGAATGGTGATTAACCTGTCAGGCGAGAGGCAAAAGGACAGGATACAGAGAAAAGTCATTGGCAATATTACACGGAAAATCCATATACATAGGAAATACATACACATGTTGAAGATACGTGTAAGTATATATGTATAAATAAATCTACACAGGAAATTCACAGGTAATATTAATGTTCTTTTTCCTAAACTAACAATAGGCAAACACATACGTTCATTGTATGATTTTAGATATATTTAATAAATATTCATTTGATTTTATTCAATATTTAGTAAAAATTCTAAAGGACTCTAAAATACCATATTTGAACACACTTTAGTAGTATCAGTAGTAATAGTCATAGAAATATGAGTTTCTACCAATTATTAGGTGATTACCAGATACAATGCCTCAAATGCACTAGCTAAATCAATTCTGACCACAACCCTCTGAGATGGATTTTTTATTATTCACATTTTGTAGATGAGGAAATGAGACTCAGAGAGATTTAGTGACTTGCTCAAGGTCACACAACGTAAAAGGGAAGGATTTGGAGTTCTAAACTAGACTTGTCCCATTGTAAGCCTGTGCTCTCAACCACTACAAAAAAGCCTTCCCCGTTCCTTTCCTTCCATACTGGACTAACCCTCTAACACTTCCAAAAATGCCTGCTTCTCCAGAGCAGTGAGCTTATTTGGGGGGTTCCCTGAAGAAAGAATTCCTGATTCTCACAAATCCCTACAGTTAGAAACATCTTCTCAATTGTTGATTCTACTGTTGTCTCGGCCCTGCTTGGAGTGACAAAGTGGCTGAGTTGGTACCTCTCAGCTTAGAACTTTTTGGACCCTGTTAAGCTTATTCAAAGTACTTAAACAGCAAGATTTATCATTTCATGGTGACAGGAAGGTAACGCTGGAGGGACCAGCTGTTCCTCCAAGGGCCTTCAGCTGTCTCCTCTGGTAACTGCCCAACAGGTGGACGGAGCTGACCCTCACGGAGGGAAGGTTTTACCTCCATCAAAACCTCCATCAAGGCCTGACTACCCATTAACCATGTCCTCCACTCCCAGGCTTCAGCAGTCTATGGTTCTGCTGCAGACAAGCTTGTCACAAACAAACAGATGACACTACATGGCAGTTGCAACAAGTGCCCACTTAGTCTTGTTTAGGTTGGTGTTGAAATGTTTTGGCCAGGCTGGGAAGAAACCATGGGATCCACTGATTATATCTGGCCTCAACTTTTAATAAAGTATTCTTGGGAAGAAGTTTCCCATCGCAAAGAAATACAAATATTTAAAAAGCAAACAAGTCACGGACTGCTCTCAGACCTGCTGCCATATGCTTTGCTTTTTTGAGCTTACGGCTTAACATTAAAATAACAGCCTTGCATTCCTCAAATATCTCTACTGCTGTTCCTTACTTCTACTACTTGAAAAGGCTGTCAGCTGCTGTCACTTGGAGGCATTACCATATTAGCCACCACTGTTTACTGCTTACCATGTGGTATGGCTATTAGCTTAATAAGCCTCCTCTTGGATGATACCCTAGGCTGTGGAAGCAGAAACCATACCCTGGAGTCCAATGCCTAATGAAAGAGCGTGTGTGTGTGTGTGTGTGTGTGTGTGTGTGTGTGTGTGTTCGAGGGTGAGACAGGGAATGACGCTTTATAAATATTGATGAGAGACACTGAATTCAATTGTATCGGGTTGTATTTATCGATGGTTAAAAGATCAAATATTTTTTAAAGTGCTTTAACCATTTTAAGGATCAACAGCTTGGGGTAAAATCCAGAAATATAGATGGTGTACAAAAGAGCAAGTTGGAGATCTGCAAGAAGTAAAACACTGCAGCAAAGCTCTTTAATTCACTCTGCATAAATAGCTGAGCCTACAAAAGAAATCTCTAGTCAGAGGTTTCCTGGATTATAACAAGAATTCTCTCGATGGGGAGAAGTGCCCTTTTCACTTGAAGACAAAGAAATGTTTGTAATGGAAATGTGTGAACCAATTTTCCAAGGAGAGCTGCTGAAAAGCACTGATTAAAAACACAGTGAGGTGATGAGGCAGTGAAATAAAGCCAGAGCTGACCCACTTAGTTTGTGGCTGCACTTACTTCCGAAAGTGAAGAGAGCAACCCCGGGCCACCTTCTACATTCTTTCCCTTCTCCCCAACCCCAAGCAGTCCCTGCCCCATTACTGACCCTGCAACTCCGTAGACAATCAGAACCTTCCAGCGTGCAGGAATGTTTACTATTTCTGGACATTGTGTACTGGTTACTAAGCTACCGACACTGAGGATGAAATGGTAACCCAGTAGCCCAAAACACAAAGTCCTTCTCAACAAAGCCTAACCAACGGGCAATGGATTACAGTGATTCAGAGGAAAGATGAGAAGGTAGGTAGATGACTCTAGCATAAGACAGTTTACAGTGATAGTTCTTAGGGGATGTATAATACTCATTGTTTAAGAACTTCCATTCCCTAGAGAGTAAAACTAAGACACAGAGAAGGAAGGTATCTCGATCACAGTCGCCTAAAATAGGAGAATCACTGAGACCTAGTGGAACAAGCCCTCAGTAACTTAGGACAAACAAGCTATAATGCCCTGTTTCCGAAATTTCACCCATTGGAGTTTAACATCACTTTTGCCATATCCAAGTATATCTGTGTTATTTTTCTTTAAATTGACTTGGAAATATCTTAATAGCCCCCTGAGCAATAATTTTCACCAAATCACTACATTCTAACGTACATTTAAGAATGTGTAACTAGGCTGGGCACGGTGGCTCATGCCTGTAATCTCAGCACTTTGGGAGACTGAGCAGGGCAGACCACGAGGTCAGGAGTTCAAGACCAGCCTGACCAACATGGTGAAACCCCGTCTCTACTAAAAATACAAAAAATTAGCTGGGTGTGGTGGCAGGTGCCTGTAGTCCCAGCTACTAGGGAAGCTGAGGCAGGAGAATCGCTTGAACCTGGAAGGTGGAGGTTGCAGTGAGCTGAAACCATGCCACTGCACTCCAGCCTGGGCAACAGAGTGAGATTCCGTCTCAAAAAAAAAAAAAAGGAACGTATAATTACTAAAGTGTTCATCCACAGTCCATTTAAAATTGTCTCATGTGCTCCAATGGTACACATTGGGAAAGAGTGGATAAAGTATTTTAAATAAATAAGGATGACATAACACTACGTTAGGATGACCTAACAGCTTTTTTTTTTTTTTTGTGAGACGGAATCTTGCTGTGTTGCCCAGGCTGGAATGCAGTGCAGTGGTGCGATCTCGGCTGACTGCAACCTCCGCCTACCAGGTTCAAGCAATTCTCCTGCCTCAGCCTCCCAAGTAGCTGGGACTACAGGCGCCCGCCACCACACCCAGCTAATTTTTGTATTTTCAGTAGAGACAGGGCTTCACCATATTGTCCAGGTTGGTCTTGAACTCCTGACCTCAGGTGATCCACCCACCTTGGCCTCCCAAAGTGTTGGGATTACAGACGTGAGCCACTGCGTCCAGCCCTAAGTTTGTTTTTAATATCAGGAAGAAATAACAGTAAAGGGAATTTTATATTATTGACTGCCAGGGTGTCGGTGAGGGACTTAGACAGATTGGAGAGAAGGCAGGGGAAGAAGTAAATTTAATAACTTCCAAGTAAGGGAAAACTGAAGCCCAGGATCACTTACATGAAATTTTCTGGGTATTCGCTCAGGGCCATGTCAATGATGTTCAGAGCGTCATGGTAATGCTTCTGTGCTGACAGCAGGAGGGCAAGGAGGTGCAGGGAGTTGGCATCGTCACCTTGAAGCTGAAGAGCTTGGCGGACATACCCCAGAGCCTCTGGGATCTGGTTTAAAACAAAACCAAAAAAGGTTTTACACACACATAAAAGAAGCCATCATTTCAATGTCTGATTCTCTTTAAATATCAAGTTGTTTCACGTTGTGCCTCATTCGCATTTTAAGCCAAGTCTTTATGGCAGCCCCAGGATATTAACCACAAATACGAAAATGGAAGCCACCTTCAAGAGACATTCTGAGTGACACAGTGATACAGGAGACCCTGTTTCTCTACATAGCTGCCAATGCTGCTCCAAGTCTTTCCCTTTTCCCTAAGTAAACACTTTCTCGTTCTGTCCACAAAACTGATCTACTCTGATTATGCTCACGATGATTTTGCTCTAAGTGGAGACACATACAAAGTGTCAGAGGTTTTTAGTGGAATTAAACTGCCTTAGCTTAACTGTTCTCATTTTTTCAAGTATTACTGAAATTAAAGTGCTTAATAAGTTATAAAACCTTTAGCAGAGCTTTCCAAATGATCAGAGGCCTGTGGTTCTTTGCAGGTTCCTTTGTCTTGGACCTCCATTAGACATCAAGGAAACATGCCAAAACAGTAAACAACAAACAAAGGCCCCACACCTTTCCAAACTACAGCCCAAAATAAGTTGATTGAGAAACAAATTGCAATGCCACATGCAAAGCAGATGTGTCCAAATTCATGTAGGACCAGACACAACCTGAACCTTTAAATGCAACAGCTGTTCGAGACTTTCTTCAAAATCATCCAAGCACAAGGGTTGATAAAATGCACACACAATGGGTATTTGACGCCCTGGATTCCGTGCAGGTTTGGCAGTAACCAGGGAGGATTAGAACCCGAAGCTAGATTTTGAAATAGAGCTCTGGACTGAAGCATTCTTACACAACCATCCCACAGATGCCTTCCCGTCTTGCTCCAACTCCAGTCCTCTGTGGGGCCTCTTCTTAGCTCTCCTGCTTTTTCCCAAACCCTCACTAACCTCCCTCCATAGTAGAAGGCCATGACTTCTCTTCCCAAACCAATTACTTTTCCTCAACGAACTTCTTTTCTTGATGGATTTAGGTTATAACTGCTGGCTGGTGGAGGCTTTCTGCTTTGGAACCATAGAATCACAGCTCTCACGGTTGGAAGGGAGACCATCCACCCCAATCCTTCAGTTACAGGGAGGAAGCTGAAGTCCAGGGAGGTGAAATGGCTTGGGCAAGGTCACCCAGCTATGAGTGTCTGACAAGAGAGTGATTCCTGTCCTCCTCTCCTCCTGGTCAAACCGCCCCCCTGCCCCGGGGAAGCAGGTAAACACTCCTCGCAGCTCTGGTGTTCTGACACCACATGCCCACAAAGGCTGCTGCCACACCCACAAGGCTCCATTTACTCATCCTTCCCCAGGTGACAGCCTACTGTGTGAACAGCACTCAACCTGGTATTGACAGGTGGGTTGAAAGGCACAGCATAGGCATGATGTTGATTTGCAGGGATGATCAGGGCAACCAGGGACAAACTGATACAGGGATCAAAATGATGCCTTGAAGGAATTCAAAGCTGGTTCGTTCATTTAGCGAGTATTCCTGAGTGGTGAACACATGCCAGGCAGCATTCCAAGTGCCAGGGTAAAGCAATGACAACGACGGGCATGGGTTCCTGGAACCTACAGTCCAGTGAGAAAGATACTGAACAAGAAAGCAGGGCAAAAGGAAGAAGTACAGGCTGCTACAGGAGGAAGGCTTCATGGAGAAGGTGAGAGAAGCTGTCAGCGTAGGGGAGAGATCAGATGGTCAATCAATGCCCACACCTGCTGCAGAAGCCCAGCTGTGAGCCATAGTCAGGTGACAGGACCTCTACAGGGGCGGTATCTTGGTTTCCTCTGTCCCTAGGTTGCCAATGGAAGCCACTTCTCAATGCCATTCCCAAGCAACCAGGAAGACAGGTGCATACCTCAGCCCAGGCCTGCCAGGGGAATGGCATGTCTGGAGAGCTGACCTTTGAATCACCCTCCCAGTCAGCACTCAGGAATGTGCTGGGGTTACCACCAGTGTCTTGCACCTGGTGGGTGGGCAGGCATGTGGCCAACATCCCCAGAACAGCTGGGAGGGGATAGGAGGGTTTCGGGAATGGCAGAGGCAACATCTAAAAGCTGCCTTGGGGAAGACGAAGGCTGCCAAAACTTGCCCCTCATGCAAGGAGATAGTGTTAAGTCCCCTTTTTTGAGTAGCCACAGCGGAAAACTGTTCATGTCTTCCACGTATTGTAAAGGACCTGGTTCTTTTGTCTCTGCCTGTTGGCATCTTCCTGCCAGTCAATGATACCCTTATGATAACCAGACCCCAATCAGTGGCTAAATCCCCACCATGCAGCTCAGCACTGGGTTCTGCTACCTGGCTCCTGTTGGCAAGGGACAAAGGCTCTCTGATGACTCCTGGGTTCAGGGTATATGCCATGTGCTGCTCCCCAGGTTGCCATCTGACCCTAGCTTGGGCCCTCCAGCTGTGTGGATTTAATGTCCAACAGCAGAGCCGGGAACTCCTGCGTCTTCACAGCTGATGCTCAAACCAACCAAAACAACAGGCTCTTTGCTGAAACCTCTGAGAAGGGTTCCTGGCTCCAGGTCAGCCTCGATGGAATAAAGGAAGATCACCTATCATTTCAAACTGAAGAGCTGAAGGAGTTGTATCAAGATATAGAGCGCAGCAAGCATAGGAAACGCTAGAGAAACTGACCTGTCTGGAGATGGCAAGTTGCAGAGCCAAGTAGAAAGCTGCTTGGTGATCTGTGGGTGACAGGCTGTGGGCCCTGAAAAAGTATATATGGCTATTAGTACATGGAGAGGAGGCCATTTTTACTTTCCCTATCAAACAAGTCTTTTCCACATTTGCATTCTTATACTAAGGCCCCATAGTTATTTAACTATGTAACGCTTCATTTAAACTCTTCTTCTTTGTCCACCTACACATGTAAACAGTTTCCCTCTTACCAGTGTGTAAAGGTACAGGAGCGCGTTTTGTCTAGCATCTAAAATGGCAGCCGCAGCTTGTCGGCTTTGCAGAGGGCCTCGAGGTGAAGAATCCACAGGCCCTGAGGCCTGATCTCCCCAGCAGATGGGCCCCTGTGTCATGCTGGGACACAGTGAAGCCATGTGTGCACTTGGCAAGGCGATGGCTGCTTTGGTTAAGTTTGGCTCGGCCTTCCTTAATGCTACTTTATCCAAATTTCTAGATTTCAGAGAAACCATATGAAAATCAAAGACCCAGCTTTGCTTATAAAATGAGGTTTTGGTTTTTGGTGAAAAAAGGGAAGAGAAAGACATTCATTCAGTCTTTTGAAGCTTCTACAAAATTCCATGCCGTTCACTGATTTATTCCAGATAACTGTGATGTGTAAGAGTGTGGTGAGACACCAGGCTCAGTTTTAAGAACTGACATCAGACAGGAAGGGACCATACTGGCCTCCTAGCTGATTGCCAATGTGGTCTTCTCTGCTTCTATGTGGAAGTCATTTTTATTTCAGCATCAGCAACTCAAATGTAACTACGTACAAGACAGAATTCTGTGTTTAAGTCTGCTGGGAAGAGAAAAACAAACTTCTACTTTCTTTAAAAGGCACCATGGAGCAGACTAATTAGGTGGGATCCAGATAGTAAACAAAACTTCATGCTGTTCTGTCAACATTCTGTGATTAAAGGAGGCTCTTCTACCAGCAGAAAACAAATTTGAGATGAAAAAGAAAACCAAATCATTATGGATTCAACTGTGGCAAACAGGCCAAAGATGGCTTTCTACAATAATAAGGTCTTTTAATTGAATTGTCTGCTGCAGGGAAGGGAGCTAATAAGCCTCCCAGGTGTTTGCCATCCAGAAAATATGCTAAGTCCACCAGTTTAGGGCATTATTTATGCAAACGTAGTAGCTCATGTGCAGGTCCAGGGTAAGGCAAAGCTAATCTCTGTCCTTATATTAATCTTAAGAGCAAAGCACCTAGACTTTCAGTCCAGGGGAATCTTCACTTGGCCTCAAGACATAGCCTTAGGACCTTTCTTAGCTTAGTTGAAGAGGCTGAAGCTGATATTGCCTGTGTTATCCTTTCACATGTCTTATTTCTCTCTCTCTCTTTTTTTTTTTTTTGGAGACAGGGTCTCACTCTATCACCCAGGCTGGAGTGAAATGGCATGATCACTGCTCATTGCAGCCTCAACCTCCCAGGGCCCAAGCGATCCTCCCATCTCAGCCTCCCAAGGAGCTGGGACCACAGGCGTGCTCCCCATGCCCAGCTAATTTATAAATTTTTTTGTAGACATGGGGTTTCGACATGTCATCCAGGCTAGTCTAGAACTACTGGGATCAAGTGATCCTCCCACTTCGGCCTCCCAAAACGCTGGGATTACAGGCATGAGCCACCACGCCCAGCTACTAAATGTCTTATTTCTAAAGTCCACTTAGTATGTAGCAACTTTTAAAATTTTACAAACATTGGCTTTCCATGAATTTGTACATCAAAGAATATTTTTCTTTGGTGTTTATAACAGTGAGATTGAAAAATCATGGTTTCTCTCTCATAATTATTCAGGAAAAAGAATACACAATTATGAGGAAATTTTTTGATTTATTTTATCTTCCTTCACAAATAATAAAGTTTATACAACTCTCAAAAAGAATTTCTTAGAGTTATAATTTTCTCAGTTCAATTCATATTCTTCACAAATAAATCAAGTCATGGTTGCCTCTATGCAACACCAACCAACTGAAGGGCTGGCAATGATCTTTTGAGTTGAGGGTGTGCATAAAGATAGTTCTGGCTAAAGACCCCATGCTGGCCTCATCAAATGATTTTTCTTTGTTAACCACAGCACCGTGAAAGGAATAAACCAGCAGTGCTAGAGATCTTGGTATTTCTGGAGTGCGTTAGGGCAACATCTGAAGGATTTCCAACTTGGCTAATGATGCATATTCAACTGCCAAATTTCTAATGAGGCACAACTGAAACATACACATTTTAAAAACCTTATTTCTACAATTTGGCTAATGAATTCAACTGACCACTTTACCCACTGAAGGAAAAAAGGAAATAAGGAAAATGCCAAACAAAACAAGAAAAAGCTCCCTGTGTTGATCTCAAGTAGATGCTGAAATACTTGCTTCCCACAGAGCAACTTCAGCAGCTAAGCTTCCTGTGGGAAAGCCCCTTTGGTATGCCACAGGCAACTCGCAGGACAGAAATCCTCAGGCAAGGCAGGTGAGAGAAAGGACATCAGCAATCAGAAGAACTGCAAGTCTTCTGAAGTCTGTACATGAATCTAAAGCAGCCTCAGAAACCCCGTGCCCATATACTGAATACGTGGCTAAACTGCTCAGAAATACCTAAAAGACCTAAAAATGTCACCACAGGGATGCTCACAAAACGCTTCCCTTATCTCAAAGCACCTCCACATGATTAATTCAGTTTCTCTCCAATGAAGAAGAGCCCACTCATCCTTTTATCCACTTACCCACCCATCCACCCATCCAACCACCCACCCATCCACCTATCCATCCACCCACCATCCAACTATCCATCCATCCATCCATCCATCCATCCATCCATCCATCCATGCATCCACATTATGCAGTATCTCTAATATGACACCAGGGCCTATGCTAACTTCTGGGGAGCATGGAGATGAATCATGTTAGTGCCTTTCCTTGATGAGCTCCCACCCCCACTCCAGAGGGAGAGACCCAAAATGACCATCATGACAGTGCAGTGGGAGCAGTGCCCAGAGATAGGCATGCTGGGCTGCTACTAGAAAGCATCACATGGTCGCATGGGCTTCCCAGATCACCTGGCTAGAACCCAAGGATGTTGTGGCATCTACCCCAGGGCTCTCCTAGATTCCATTTCCAACATTCTCTAGAGCTGAACCAAGAATATAGAGAAGGCTGATCAATGTTGACCCTAGTCCATAAGGCATATATCTTGTAACAATAATAACTACAGTTTGTGAAGTTATCAACTATTAAGCTTCTTGTCCAAAAACAGCCAGTAAATGAGAGAAAGCCAGAGTGGAGTGGAAAGCACATGATTGCAAAGCCCGTTCTTTGTACACTGTCACCTTGCTGCCTTGTTTAGCCAATTCTCCTTGAATTCCCCTTCAGTCCTGATTACAGGGCCCATTGGATTCGTGCATTAAGTTTTTTTAAAAGTGCAAACCCTGGTTAAATCTGTTGCTCAGGAATCTCTCGTTAGTTACACACACAGAGGGTGACCAACTTGTCCTGGTTTGTCCAGGATGTTCCTGATTTTAGGATTGAAAGTCCCATGTTCTGGGAAACCACTCAGTCCTCAAGAGATTGGGATGGCTCATCACCCTATATGCACAAATCATACCACACTTCAACTCGAGTTAGGAGAGAAAGGGGAAAACAAAGCAAGACTGTGTACCCTATGCCACAATGAGTGATAAACACAACCACCACCATGCCACCCCTGCCTCCTGGAGCACCAGGCTTGATGCATACTGTGGGCCATGCAATGAAAGGCGCTCTCAACTGTTTTCAGGATTGCTTTTTTCAGTAGGATGTGAGAGCCTGCAGAAGAAGCAACTCAGATCAATTCAGCATCTTCAGAAGCTTTGCAAACAATATTGTGTTCTTCTTCACTATACTTTTGTACAGGGCAAATGAATTGGTTCAGCTGCTTGGGTTGAGCTTATGAGTGTAGGAACAGCTGAGGGTCTCACATTCAGATGCAGCCGCCCAACCTGGATGTCTTCAAAAATCACCTCTTTGGATCCACTAGAGAACAAATATTTCTGAATTATGGTTCCAGTCATAATTAAGAGTTAACTTTCTTGTGCTATATCTGCAACCCCATCCCTTCTTGAATTGTGTTTTCTTTTTAAACAAAAAATGCAAAACATTAGTATAAACAGAATTGTGGGGAGGATATTTAAAATACATAGTAGAGAAAGTACTTCTCATCAAAGTAGTTTTAAATTATCCATTTACATTTAAGAAGTAATACAAATCATTTTTATTTACTTAAAATCTTTCCCTTAAAGATGTTGGTTAGGATTGCAATTCACTAGAATAGTCCTAGTTACTGTGTACTTGAAACAAAATGAAAAACATTCCTTTGAAAAACATTCTATATTTCACACAACTTCTAATTTAGGTTAGCCTTCTGCAATATCATCAGTTAGGTTAGTGGGATTTTATTACTCTTTATTCCCATATGAACTAATATTTTAAAAATCTCTTTGAATTTAAACTTAAGCAAAAGACGAACAAAAAAGAATTCAGGCCAATGGAGCAGCTGTTACATAACATGAAGTTATACTGGCAGCTCAAGGCAGACCACCACTGTGGCTGTTTTTAGAGAGCCAGTAAGATGTGCTGATTTAAGAAAAGTGAAACAGATGTAATGACCACTTTCTTAAGCATCCATGTGTGGGTTCTACAAACTAGGACTGGAGAATTTAAATCTCCAAATCATTTGAAATGGAAATGCTTTCCACACTCCGTGCTGAAGAACATCAACAAAAGCTTAGCACAGAGACAGGAGATCTGTTTGCAGATGTCAGTTGGTACTTTTTATCATTACCCAGACTGGGGCTGGCAACCTGAAGTAGCTACCGGCAAGGCTGCTAGGAAACAGAAATGAGACGGAAGAGTTTCAGACTCACCGAAACCAGCGATCATGATTTCATGAAAAAAGGCACATGGACACCATGATAAATTGGTAGGCAGCCCCAGTTCTAAGGAAAGAGTCTAACAAAGCTTGTCAGGTATTAGGAAGGCCTCATGAAATGTCCATGTAAGTATCTAAGTTTCTAATACAATTCCAAGAAATCAGTGTAACTCAGATATATTTAAAGTGACAGCATCAATACCAATTCTAGATTTCACATCATAGGGCTATACTTCCAGATAATTTCATTTTTGTGATTATACCTGTAATGAGAATAAAATGAGGGCAATGTAGTATGGTGGGGCAGGAGAAACTGGGTTAGAGTCAGGAGACCCTGACCACATACTGACTTCAACAGCTGCGGGACCGGCAGCTCCTGTAACTCCTGTGCCTCAGTCCCTGACCTGCAAGGGACATATTGCCTGTCTGTCTTTCTTACTTGTGTGTGGTGAGCAACAAATTAAATAAGGGATATGAAGGCACACTGTGACGCTTGAGCATTTTATAATTGCAAGGCCTTCTCCTAATTTCCTGAGAGGCACAATGACAGAGAGAAGCTCAAAGTGTTATGGAACAAGGTGGGGGCGGGGAGTTTGGGGCTCACTGTCTTCACGCAGTATTTCAGAGACTTCCTGAAATCGGCCTTCTCATTCCTTAATACAAAAACCTGCAGCTTGACATGTTTAAAAAAAAAAAAAAAAAAAAAAAAGCTAGAAAAGAATAATCTCTTCTCTAGATGATGACAAATGTCTTTAATAAAGGACTCATCTCCCTCGGCATACAAAGTATCTGTCTTTTTCGAGCTGAAGTCACTTCATTAGGAATGAATAAAATGTGCCCAAATGGATAAACAGATTAAGAGTGCAGATTGATACAGCAACAAGTGACGTAGCAGGGTTTGCACGCTGTGTGTTCAGTGCTCAGGACGAAAGACTCTCAGGGGTAAAACACTGTTTACATAATCTTTATAAATATCTCTCCTTTTTATACTCATCATACTTTGGTGTCATTATGTACAGCCGAGTGAAAAGATGAACTCCCACTCACCTCTGAAATGCAAGAAGCGCCTTTCTCTGTAGGACCTCCTGCATCCCTCGCAAAGAAGCTAAGAAAAGGGTTCAGTTAGTCAGTGGCATGGGAGATCAGGGAGTTTTGACAAATACAAAACCCATCACAAAACCTGTGCATTCAACTGGATGAAAAGAAACAATGTCTGAGTGCCTGTGTGCCCAGTCCTGCACCAGGCCCTGGAGAAGATAGCAAACAGAGCTACCCCCGAGTGCTTGCACGCATTGGGTGTGACTGTGGAACAATGCCAAGGGGGCAGTGTGAGTTGGGTGGTCACTCTTGGTACTCCCAGGCATATGGGGGCCATTTGCAAAAGACCAGTTGGGAACTCCAGAAGGAGCATGACTGCCCTCTCAAGTGCAGGCATGTAACTCAGGGGAACGACAAGCTCCATGAGGGTGGGGTGGGAGGGATGCAAGCACCAGCAGTGTTGATTTTGACAGCCTTCAGAGTCCCTTCTGCCACTGACAAGCTGCAGTGCTGGGCCACCGACACTAGCTTGCTGCCTTGAAAGGCCAGCTTGGTTCACACTGGGCAATGGCCAGGACTTTAACACCTTCAAGTGAACACAAGGGATGAAGTAGGCAAACCCAACACTGATCATGGAAAATTAGCTCAAAAGTGTGAGGCCACCTGGCTGTGAGTCAACACTTCTCCTGTGCAGAGCACGTGAGAAACGGCCCCTTAAGCCTGGCTAGGAATGAAAAAGGTGCTTTTTACTACGGCAAGAGAAAAAGTCCTGGAGGAAACTGTTTATGGTTGGAACTGCAAGAGGCGGTTACCTAAAGCCTCCAACATGGCACCTCCCAGCCTGGCATGAGACTGAGAGCAGTGAAAGGCTGCCAGGGGGTCAATGTGGCTGGAGACCATGGCTAACGTAACTTAGAACAGCAGTGACCCAGCTAGAGAGAACCTCAAAAGGCCCCAACTGACCCATGAATGGAAGAGGAAGCCCCACAGGGTCAAGCAACTCTCTCAAAGTTGCAGGAGTAATGAGGGGTAGAGTCTGAACTAAGAATTTACATAGGTTAATATGTGGCATTAAATTTGCCCTTCACTCAAAGTCTACTATATCAAAAGCTATGTGCTGGGTATTGCCAATGTATCATGTGTATATGGAAAATTAGCAAGCAATCCATATTGAAAAGCAATTAATATGCAAAACTTCCCCAGGACCTTTGATATTTTAAAGCAGAGAAAAGAATTTGGAGTACTTTGTAAAATAAATTACAACAAAACCATAAAGAAAAAAAGGAAGTATTATAAAAGTCAGGATAGTATTTCCTCTTAAGGGAGAGAAGGGGGTTTGTGATTGGGAGGTGCACATGGAGGGCTCCCCAGGTGGCTGGCAAGGTTCTAGCTTCTGAGCAGGCTAACGGCTACAAGATATTTTGCCTTATACTAATTCAAATTCATTAAATTATCCATTTGTTTCTGAGATTTTTGTTTTGCATTTGTGTTACATTTAACAACAACATGATAAAAGAACAGTAATAGTTCAGGAAAAGTTTGTTAAACGTTCTGCAGATATCACTGAAAACTTAAGTATACAAGATTTTTTCTTAGCTAGAATCCCATCCATCAGAACTCTAAGCACATCCAAAATCACTGTTTCCAAGACCCCTAGGGGTCTTGTGAGCTGCTGCACTGCACATGTACGTATCTGCAAATTCAAATGCGCAAATGGAGAAGGGGCATTTCCTGACCAGTCAAGGAAAGCTTCCTAGAAGTGTCTGGCCAACTCTTCCACATTCCTGTGCCTAAGATCCAGCATCCCTTCACACAGGACAGCCCAGACCAAGTGGTAGGACAGGGGCAGGTGCAAGGCTGGGTGGCGGAATCATCCTGCAAAGCCCAGCGAGGTGCCCAGTGCACCACCAGCATAATGTACCTGAATATGAGGCCTGGGAGCCCTGGCACAGGGCCTCCCTCCCTGCCCTCCCATTCTCCCATGAGACCAAGCAAAGAAGACAGCAGCACCAGGGGCCCCACCGAACGGCACAGCAGAATGCCCCAGCTTCTGCACCCTCCTGAGACAGAAGGGGACTGTGGGAATCCTGCAGTGTAGACTTAGGCAGTCCAGCCCTGCAGCTCAGCGGCCCTGGGGGTGGGACGTCTCTCACCGTCAGTGGCCTGCAGACTGTACGTGAGCCCCAGAGCTAAGTAGCCTTTGGCCTTGAACTCTGACGTTTTCTCTCCCACATCAACGACAGTTTTGGCAAACTTTTCAGCCTCTTCCAACTGAAAAATGAGACAAGTTAAAAACAACAACAACCTGCAGAATTTCTAACATGAGTTCCCATAAGCATCTGCTGCCAAAATTGGATTTCTGATGAGTCACTTTGAAAATGACTCCCAAATCTCCCAATCCCACTCTGGTGGTTCTGTTTTCTTTCTTGAGCCTCTCTTAACAGTTCGCAGGAGTCCTATCTTGCTTTTTCTCTTTAAAGTTTTCCTTACTGCTTCTTTGCCTTCTTTTCCAAAGTTGCTTTCATATTTGGTGGGGGTCTATCTTTTTTATCTTTATTTTTTACTGATTGGTTCTATAATGAAGTTGTGCTAGGTATTCAGAAGCTGAACTGAATATATTTGTAAAGAATAAAGTTCTTGGAATGTTTTATGTTTGAGCCTTTCTTTTTTCCCCCCAGGATATAAAGAATCCATTTAGGCTTGGATTCTCTTTGCCATGAACTGTTATAAATTTCAAAACTCCATCCACTTATTTTACAAACCTCAACACATGTACCTTGTGCCAGCAGATTCCAATGAGAAAATGTGCACCTGTAAACTACACCCACAAGAAGACCTGGTGCACAATTCATTAGAGGCAAAAATAGTAAGATTTGTTCCTTCAAAGTATGGCAAACGTTGATGATATTGAGTTGGGTGATAAGACACTGGAGTTCATATACTCTTGAGTTTTGTGGTGTTTAGAAATTTTAATAATAAAAATGCAAGAAAAAAATATACAGAAAAGATTTGTTACTCATATATATATATATATATATATATATATTTTTTTTTTTTTTTTTTTTTTTAAAAGAGGTCTGGCCGGGCGCGGGGGCTCACGCCTGGAATCCCAACACTTTGGGAGGCCGAGGCGGGCGGATCACGAGGTCAGGAAATCAAGACCATCCTGGCTAACACGGTGAAACCCTGTCTCTACTAAAAACACAAAAAATTAGCCGGGTGTGGTGGCGGGCGCCTGTAGTCCCAGCTACACGGGAGGCTGAGGCAGGAGAATGGAGTGAGCCAAGATTGCGCCACTGCACTCCAGCCCGGCCAACAGAGCGAGACTCCATCTCAAAAAAAAAAAAGAGGTCTATTTAAGGCATTTCAAGATGTATGTGTTACAGTAATAAATAAAGCCAGAGCTGGGAGGAGGGCAGTAGTCACTGCTGGGAACTGGCATGTTCCAAATGCAAAAGTTGTGTCCACTCCTCCGCCTGCCCACTCCTGGAGCGCCTGCGCCATCCCCTTGCCTGCTCACAGCCCTAAACTGTCAAAACCCACATGACCACACTACGCCTTCACAGCTGTGCGTTTCAGGTGAGAGCCTGTGCTTTCAAAACATCTTTTCTACATTTTCCCAAGCAAAATGAACTAAACTGGAACACTCTTCGCTAGGCTTACTTTTCTCCTACTGGGTGAGAATATGTGGAAAAAAACAAAGAGCAAGGACATAAGGGTGAAAAACCTGAGCTTGTAAGACGCTTTGGTCTTTTTTGAGCAAATCGTTTTTATTGCTAATGTTGACATGAAGTTAAAGAAAAGAAATTAGAACTCTATCGTATGTGGCAATTATCTATACCACCATCTCGGCAATTAGACTGAGTTTTCTATTTTCTACTCAAATGATGTATTTTTTGAGGTACTAGAATTGTTACAAATCAGGCTATTGCCAAATTCAAATTTGAACAAGAATATTTGAAGAAAAATGTGTATGTGAAAGAAGAGAAATGAAGACAGTTGAATTTAACATATGAGCTGAAATGTAGGGTGACTCCTTGCTCTTTAGAAAGTCCCAGGCTCCCAGCCTAGGCAACAGAGTGAGACCCTGTCTCCACAAAAAATACAAAAATTAGCCGGGTGCAGTGGAGCACACCTGTAGTCCCAGCTACTCAGAAGGCTGAGGTGAAAGGATGACTCGAGCCCAAAAGGTTGAGGCTGCAGTGAGCCATCATGTACTCCAGCCTGGGTGACAGAGCAAGACCCTGTCTCAAAAGCAAAAACGAAAGCAAAAACAAACCAGGCCACGTGTCTCTTCTCAGTCCCACATTGCTTGAATAAAGCAAGATGTATGGGAGTATGAATTATGGTTCTATCTTATTATCATTATTCCTGGAGCACAATCCCATAGGAAAAAACCCCTGGAGTACCCCAGAGTCCTCCGCAGTCCTTGGGTGGGGTGGATGAGGCCTGAGGAGGCCAGGGGCCCAGGCCCAGGCTCCGTGGCTCTACACGGTCTTGTATCTTGTCCTTGCGTAGCTGATGAATCACCCTTGCTTTCTCTCTGTGCCTCAACATGAAAAAAATGGGCAGGACTGGCCTGGAGTCCTCTGCAGGAGCGGGGAGGGGGGCGCCCCTACTCACCCAGTGCAGGGAGCCCATGCAGAGCTTGGCAGCGAGGAGAGGGATGGTGGCGTCGTCCGGCTTCAGGCGGATACACTCTTTCAGCACCTTCACGGCACGGGCAGACTTGGCAAGAGAAGATTATTTCTGTGAAACTCAAAGCGTTTGACAGAACCGAATACAACAGCCTTCTCAGAGGGGGTTTTGGTCAGGGTGGCCTCCTCGTGGGCTTTTCCAACTTTAAACCCAAGCAAGCGGGGGCCTGGGGCATGTGAAAACCAGAGCCTGTGGCTTCTGAGGGACTGGGGAGTATGCTGGGTTAAAAGCCAGCAGGAATGCTTCCCTGGTGCCACCTGAATTTCATCCCATACTTGTGTAGCTATTGGAAAATTAAGAAAAATGTAAAGATGGTGGAAGTTTGTTCCTATAAAAGATAAATATCCAGTTGAAGGCACAGAATACTAAATTTCTGAATTCACTTAGCTCAAATAATCTTCTATCTCAGGCTTCATTCGCTAAATTGCCCAAACAAGAAAAACAATAGCTACCACCTCTGTTGAGTGTATACACAGCAAGGAACGCACCTCTAAACACCTACGGCGTAGCATGTCATTCCCCTGATAACACACCTACGGAGTGGGTGCTGTTCTTACTCCATTCGACCGAGGAAACTGAGCTACTCATAACTTGCCTGGGTCACTCAGCTGGGAGAGCAGCACCAACCTTCCATCCTGCCGTTGGACTCCCTCAGCCCACATTTTCATTCAGTATCATGCACTGACTAATATAACACATTGCTCAAGATAACCAACAGGTTTCCCCTCCAGGAAATAGCTTAACTCTCGGTTGAGTGTAAAACATTAGCTCTAGTTTAAGCCATGCCCATGACACCTGATGAAGTCACAATGACTAGAAAGAGACAAATATTTCAGAATTTTTCTTCTCAGTGATAAATCCATCTTGGCTTCCCAGACGATTAAATCTGATTGTTCACTGAGAGTGGACCAGGATAGTTTCCCAGAGCGGCTCAAAAGACTTCCATAAAGTCTATCATTCCGTGCAATTCATTGACATTAACCTCTTTGGCCTTAATAGGATAGGCATAAAAAACTGCCCATCACAAAGGGGACTCACTTTTCCAGCAGCCATCAGGGACAGGGCAAACTGGTACCACAGGTGGAACTCCTCAAAGGCAAACTTCATGGCTCTCTCTAGGCACTGGGTGGGAAAGAAAAACAAAGCAGACATCTGAGAATCGCTGGCGCCGCAACTGCACAAGCGTGAGTTGGTGTCCATGCACGCTAAGGTAATTCCCATCAAATCTGCTTCCCTGGAAAGCTTAAAACATAATCCTCCACCAAAGGGCTCCTACGGAGTCCCCACACAGGATAATGCACATGCCGGTGGCCAGGACAACCCACAATTGACCAAAGTTGTGACAGTCCCTGCCCTTGAGTAGCTTTGTATCTGGCACAGGAAAAGAGGCAAATACATGAACAACACAAATACAAAGCCAAACTCAGGAGTGCCCCAAGGGCGAGAAACAGGACTGTGGTGAAGTGATCCCAGGAATCAGGAATGGCATCAGGGAGAACGGAAACTGAGCTGGGCCTTCCCCAGCCCAGCCCCACTGTGAGAAACCATCAAAGACAGAAACCACAACTTCTTTATCTTCTCAGTACTGGTGCATTGCCTGCCGTGGTGAGTAATCTACAAATGGACTTCCCTCTCGGTCAGCGAGGAGCCTCTGGTCCCTGCACAGGGTGACATGATGACATTAGAGCTTTAGGAAGATCGTGGGGGACTGGGGTGAGTGGGGTGAGGAGGAAGACCTTGATGGAGGCAGGCCAGGAACAAAGTGGACAGAATGGTCCGGGGGCTTCAGAATCAAGAAATGTGTCCAAGGTCAGATCAGCAAGGACGGGTCACCCGTGGAAGCATGTGGGGACTGGGGAGGCATAGGAAGTGCCCAAAGTTTCTGGCCTGCATACCTGGGGGAAAATCCATGCCACAGAAGGCCCTTGTGTATGCACGAGTGTGAGTGAGTGAGTGAGTGTGTGTGTTTGAGAGAGGGGGAGAGAAGGGGAGGTTTTTGTGGGTTTTTTTGTTTTGTTTTGTTTTAGGAGAAAGGGAGAATGGGGAAGGAAGTTGTCATGAACGAGTTTGGCATGTGAAATGCTGAGTTCGAGGCATCATGAGGTAATTTACCAGAGACATTCTGGGACCTCAAGAGAAAGATCTAACAGAAGACAAACATTTGAGAAAAGAGCTGAAGTTACTGGAAGAGATCAGATCAGTCCAGAAGAGTATTCAGAGAGAAGGCAGCAGGGCCAGACTGCGGAAAGGGAGAGCAAAAGGATCTGGAAAGGAGGGCAAAGAAGGGAGCTGGGACAGCAGTGTCACGACACAGAGAAGGCCCCGGGAAGGGGCCAATGGGGCCAGCGGCAACAGAGGCCAAGAAACCACCCGAATCGACTGGGTGACAAGCTCTGCAATGTGGCTTTGGGGGACATGGGAGGAGAACATAGGCCATGGGGACCAATAAGCAAAGAAAAGATGGAGATGAGGCATGAAGGAGGGATGTGTGGGGTGAAGAAGGGCTCTTCATCTATGTGCTTAATTTTTCATAGAGGCAACTCAAGCCTCTCGCTACCATGAGCAGAACGAGCATGCAGAGTGAAGACCCTGGGGAGATAAATTAGGTCCCAGAAGACTAGAGGGAGCCAGGTCCCTGGAACAAATGTATTCCTGCTGAGAGGCCTTCTCTTAGGGAGGCAAGGTCCTCCAGACAAGGAGGAGAGAATGGCAGGCCCTGTTGGGCCCAGCCAGTTTTCTCTGTAAAGATGGAATGAGCTGGGTGCTAGAAGGAAAAGAAAAGAATAGTGGCAGGAGGTTTTAAAAAGAACAGAGGTGGCTGGGCGCAGTGGCTCACACCTGTAATCCCAGCACTTAGGGAGGCTGAGGCAAGAGGATCACTGGAGGCCAGGAGTTCGAGACCAGCTGAGGCAACATAGCGAGACCCCGTCTCCACAAAAAAGGTAAAAAAAATTAGCTGGGTGTGGTAGTGCACACCTGTAGTCCCAGTTACTCAAGAGGCTGAGGAGGCAGAATAGCTTGAGCCCAGGAGGCCGAGGCTGCAGCGAGCTGTGATTGCACCACTGCACTCCAGCCTGGGCAACAGAGCAAGACGACCCTGTCAAAAAGAAGAAAAGAAAAGAAAGGCAGAAAAAGAAAAACAATGCAAAAAATAGAAAAAGGTTTAAACAACAACAAAAGCCCCTTCCACCAAAGGGGACAGAAGGCTCACAGCAGGGTCAGCTCAGAGACTGGTGCGAGCACTCAGTGGGGCCTGCCCACTGTGTTGCCACCTTCTTTCGTGCTGCTAGGTGGCCAGTGCAGGAGCAGAGGAAAATGATGGGATGCTCAGCATTCATGGACAGTCAAGGGGGGAGGGCAGGGAGCTGGGGACCTGGAGACAAGGAGCTGCAGTGAAGGCGATAAATGGGTAAAGGTAAAGTGAGGTGGTGGGAGAGGAGAGAAAAGAATTCTAGAATTTTAAATGGCATATACAGAGGTCACACAGTAAATATGCTAGTTGGTTTACTGTGAAAAGCTGTTCTGACAAAAACATATTCTATTTAAAAGTAAAGTACTAAGCATTAATAAGCACCTAGTGCTTGGCGATGGCACAAGGTGGGCATCCGAAGACCTTCAGCAAGGTGAACATGGGCAATGCGTTCAGCTCAGGGCTGGCTGCGGGCCTCATCCTACGCCATGAGACATTGGCAGGAGGGGCTGGGTGAGGCCTCCAGGAGAGTCCTTTAAAAGCAAGGCATTCTCTGCCAGCACCCACTTTGCCCTCAGCCCTGCCCCTTCAAAGCCGGAAGTAGGGTGGCCAGGAACACTGAGCAGAAAGTAAGTGTGTGGCCCTGATGCCATGAGGTGCTGCAGCTACTGCACCAGCCTCTCAAAGGCTTCTTGTAGGCTGAACCAAATAAACTCCGCTTTGGCTAAGCCACTGCATGCTGGTTTTGTTAATGACATCTGAATACACTCCTCACTAGTGCGGACACCAAGCGGCAGACCTGGAATCTGAACCTGAACCCAGGGCCCTCTTAGCTGCTTTGCTGTACTGAGGAAGGTGTCACTGTGCCTTTAAGGCGCACCGCGGGAAGGGAGAAATGAAAGCAGCATGCTGAGATCAAGTAGGCAAGACAGGGTGGCAGGAGAGACCTAACCCAGGTCTAGGAGGAACGGGCTGGGACTAAGTGGGGGAGGGCAAGTGTGATGGAGGATGCTAAGCAGTGAAAAGCCAGCAGTGCCTAGAAACTGACTTGGGGATGGGAATGAGGGATGATAGAGGAGGAGGAGATGAGAATGATCACAGTGGCTGAAATGAGGCACCAGGAGCCAGTATGTGGAGAGATGGTAGATAATAAAAAATAAGGATCGTTCTAACAGCCCTACTCAACCAATACGTTGCAATATCACCACTAAGTACTTAAATATACTTAGTAAGTACTTAAACACTAAGTACTTAAACATTTAAATGTTTAAATGGTTTTTTGTCCTCCTTTTGCTAAGAGGAATGATAAATATCAACTGTTCTGATCAACAAAAGGAGCTCGGCAGCTGAAACAGTGTGTTCTGAATCAAAAAGCTAGATGCTATAAATAAGTGTGTACCCTTCTCTTCTTGCATGCCAAAGGCTAACAGTCTCATTAAACTCTGTGAAGCACATTCACCGGAGGTCTAATTGGTACAGAGCTGCGTTCCAGGTGCTACAGGAAAGAAAAACAGCCCCAGTCCTCATCAGGAGTAGAATCACGGGATCCTGTGGCTGGCAGATCACGTGGGAAGCATCTAGTTGAAGCCCCCAAAGGAGAGGGCACTTGTCATTCTGGCTGCCTGTTACTCCAAATCTCTTCTGATTTTGGGGGCGGGGAAAAGCAGGCACTCCCAAAAAGACAAGCAATAGAAATGTGGCACACGCGTGGCATGCAGACAGCCAATCACATGCTCCTGCCAGCCTCTGAATCTGCAGGTAGGGAGGCAGGGAAGGGCCCTCTGGAACTCGTTCCAAGTGTTCCAAGTGTTCTAAGTGCCCTGAGTGAGCTGGGGCCTCCCAAATTGGGGCAGGGCTTTTGTCTCCCTGAATCTGTTCCAGTCTCCTCTTCAGCCTCTGGTGGAACTGGTGAGCTTAGCAGTGCAGATGGATAAGTTCCTTTTCTGCTTAACAAGTCCAGTTCCGTCACCTACAGCCAAGGCCCTGACAGTACGCCCAATCAAATGCTTCAGGCTCCTCCTGTAACAATCCCTACCTTCCAGCCCCCAACAAGTTGTACAGCTAGCTGCCTGAGAACCCTTCAGAATAGGGAGTACACAACCTGAATGGCAGCTAGGAATACAGAATCAAGGTGCACAACAAATTGGGTGTGTGAATTCGGGCAAGCAATTAACCACTGTGTGCCTAGATTCCTCACTGTAAAATGGGAAATATGACAGTGATTAATGTAGAGAGTTACTAAGACTTAGTTACTACATACAACGCCACAGGAAATAGCACCTCACAAACAGGCTAGCGAGTGCTAAACAAAGGTTAGCTATTATTCCTTTTAAAAAATTTTAACATTCTTATATTAGGAATGGAAATACAACAAATTGTATCATACCTATCACTTTATCCAGATTCAATGTACGAAAACTCAGATTTACAATGCATTACATCAGAAATAAATATCTTTACAAAATGTTTACAAAACTTTACGAAATGTTTCCTCATTTTAGAAAAGGATTCAATCTGAGACCCTGGAGAATAGGGCACAACTTTAGAGAACTGGACCAGAATGTGTGCTTATTCTTCATTTCTTTAACAAGTGTGGTAACACCCTGTAGCCAGGCACTATTTTAATTACTTTACAAGCATTGCCTCATTGGGTGATCCTAAGGACCCTGCAAAGTACAAGGCAGGTCTCTTTATCATCATCCATTTGCAGGTGAAGAAACTGAGGTGCAGAGGTGTTAAGGGAGTACACGGGCCTCTGAGTCGGTGGTGGAGCCAGATGGGAGGGAAGTGGTCTGGTTCCAGAGACTGAGCTCTTCACCACAACACTACTGCCTCTGAAACTTTAATTACATCGTGCCACTCACACTTCACGTATCAGGCCCACTCATGCTGCAGAAAGCAAAGGACAGCTAAATAAAAGGCCCCTAAAAAG